TGAGAAGAGGCTTTGAAGGCATGGAGCATTTCAGAAGAGACTGGCAGCCACGCCACACAGGGTGGGGAAGAGCCTGAGCAGGGGTGATGTGGTGAGTGGGGCGGAGCATGAAGGGGTGTGTCGCGGAGGGGAGATGACTGAGAGGCAGGGTGCGGCCAGCCTAATGAGCCTGACATGCACCTCCTAGCCAGAATCTGCCGCTCTCAAGCAAGGCTGGCTGATGAGAGCTGTGTCTGCTAAGGTCGCCATGGTGGCATCTAGGGCAGGGGCCCGCACCCCAGGGCTGGGCGGGAGTTGGCAGGGCTGCCAGTGGTGCCGTCCTGAGAGCTAGGGCCACAGTCATGGAAGCAGCAGGATGGTGTGGGAACGTGAAGGACAGTCAGAGGGAGCCCAGGGGGGAAGGCACATCAGGGCTCTCCCTTCCCCAGGGCTCAACGACAACCCTGCCCCAGAGCTTGGGTAGCCAGCGCCTCGGGAGCCCCTGCAGACTGGCTGGGACGCGAAAGGGCTTCAGAACTGGCCAGGGTTTGGGGTTCTTTGAGGCCCGGGACCTGGGGCTCACGTTAGTCTCCTTTGTTGTTGTCGTTAGCTTATTTCATTATCTAGAGCACAACATGCAATGCATGTTATTAGCGTCTTTAAACATGACAGGACGGGACAAACAAGGCTTGTTCCTTCAAAATGCTCACCTTAGGAGGATGCTTCTGAAGCGTGTGTGTCTGTGTGTGTGTGTGTGTGTGTGTGTGTGTCTTTCTCTTTCTTTTCTTTATTTTATGCTCCTCCCCCTCCCATCCCCACACCACAGCCTCCCCCTAACCCTCGAAGTCAGCTTCTTGGAGTATGAAAACCATCTTCCTTGATTTTTCCCCCCCTTTAGCAAAGTGGTCTCTCCCAGTGTCTGGCTGAATGCGATGGACCGACTTTGCTGAGCATCATGACTCCCCGGGCATCCAGGCGATGTGATGCAGGCAGTTTCGTCCTTGCTTCTCAGGGGAGGCATCGTATTCCACCGTGGGCACTGACTAGTCAGCCTTGTGGTCTCCGTTTCCTGGTCTGTAAAGTGAGGGGCTTAGCCTCTGCGAGTTTCCTGGCCTGTGGAGGACCAGGGAGAAGACTGTCTTGCAGGGTGGGAGCACAGAGAATGGGGTCAAAGCACCACGTGCTTCTAAGAAGGAAGAAGGAAGAGAGGCCTAAGGGGTGAGCAGGAGGCTGAGGAGAGGCTCCTTGCTCAAAGCAGAGTCCCCTAGCCCAACCTGAAGCGTACTTCTAGGACTGGCCCCCGAACAGCCTGCTGGTCTCTCAGGCTGAGAAGCCTGTCTCTAGCTCCCCACGCTTCTACCTGGTTGTCCAGCCCAGCCTGCTTTCTGATGGAAGGGTCAGCTCTGCTCCTGGGACGTTGAGTTTCCAGCCTCTGGAATGTTAAGATCCACTGAAGGCTGAAGTTCCCCAAAGACAGGTAGGACAACCAGGCAAGAGGTGTGTGTGAGTGTCTCTGTACTCAGAGCTAGCACAATGCCAGCGGGGATCACTAGATCGCTCTCTGGGTGTGGGAGTGAGGCTGGGAGACCTTGCACAGGCAACAAAGCCCTCTGCCTACCGTGGGCACACCTGTGCCCAAGCAGCGCCCGCGCATTCCATTCTGCCTGCAGCTGCTCACTCGGGACCTGGAAGGGAGGGTTTGGAAAGGCGGGGTGGGGGGCATTGTGGCTAGACATTACGATGGAGAGGAATTGTTGGTGCCTATGGCGCGAAGGCTAGCAGCAGTCAGCATCCTGCAGTGCTTGGGACATCTGCTCAGTGAAGGACCTGCCTGCCCCAAATGCCATGGGCACTCACATAAAGACACTGCAGGCTGGTCGGTCCTGAAGCAAGGCTCAATGTCACGCGGTCATCAAGCTTGGCTCCGGTGTGCCATCTGGACAGATCACCCTTCCGTGTTTATGAAACACAGAGCAGCCTGTTTGGTGGCTGTCAGGTGAGGCCAGAATTGGGCTCCACGTCCTGCCTCACACCTGCCTCCGGCGTTGCCCTGGCATCCTGTGTTTGTTCCCTGGTGTGACAACCTGTTTGCTCCTTGCGGTATGGCTTGGGCGGCTTAAAGCCCTTCAGCCAGCTTGCAGGGGCAGGCAGCTTGCCTGCCATCCTGGGGCCTCGCTGAACAAGCAAACCTCAGCACTTCACAAAAATCATCTGGTTGAATTCTCCCAACCACCCTAGACAGGGGACACCATTCCAACCCCAGTTTTACAAACAGAGGAACTGAGGCACACAAGGGTTGAGTCACCTGGCCAAGGCCGCTCATCTAGCAGTCTATGGTGGCTGGATTCAGCCCGAGCAGCCTGGCTCCAAGTCCCCCATCTCAGAGCATCTTCCTTGGCTGTGAGCCTCAGCTCAGTGAGCCTGAGCTACGCACCTGGCCCCCAACATGGCCTTGCTGCCCTGGCCCCAGGCTTCCACTTGCTCCCAGGCCGGGTGAGTGGGCAGGAGGACTGGGGGCTCAGCTGCCTCTTCTGTGCTCTGGAGGGTTTGGGGGGAAGGCAGCACCAGGCTGAGTAGAAGCATGTAGCCCACTTCTCAGAGACCCAGCACAGAGTGGCGGCGAGAGGAGGGTCACCTCAACCTCTGGATTCTGGCACTTCAGCCCAAGACCCTAGCACTGAGCAAGGTGCTCAGGGCTGGGTGACATCATGGGGATGTGGTTGGTGGCTCTGGAGTGGAAGATGCCCAGCTCCCAGCCGCCCCACCACACCCACTCCCCGTGGGCAGTTCACCCAGGCTGAGAAGACCAGGACGCTGCCTGCCTTTTCCCAGCACAGGAAGAGGAGCCAGGTGCAATCAGCGAGATCACCCCGCGATGACGTCGAGCCCTGTCATCTACCGAGAACAAGGGCACCCGTTGTACATTTCCATTTAAGGCCTTGGCTCCCAGCCACGGTGCCACCCACCCCCTGGGGGGAGGGAGCAGAGCTGAGGAGGGTGTGCCACAGCCCAGCCTTGGAGGCCCATCTCGGACCCTGGCACATAACCCACTAGGTCAGCGGTTCTCAACCTGTGGGTCACAACCCCTTTGGGAGTCAAACGACCCTTTCTCAGGGGTCACCTGATTCATAACAGTAGCAAAATGACAGTGATGAAGCAGCAATGAAAATAATTTTATGGTTGGGGTGGGGGTCACCACCACATGAGGAACTGTATGAAAGAGTCAGGCATTAAGAAGGTTGAGAACCACTGCACTAGGTGCTCAGTCTGGGCCCAGACTCTCAGAAAACAGCCCATCCCTTGTTCTCCTCGGTGCAGCAGCCCCGACCCCCAGGGCGCGTTGGTTGGCCCAGTCTGGGGGAGACCACAGTGCCTGCCTGAGTGTGCAGCTGGGCGTGTAGGTGGAGGAGCAAGCCTGTTGTTGCCAACGGTAACAGCTTGTGGCTCCTGAGCCTGGGATGCCACTTCGGACTGGTCGCCTGATACACGGTCATCCAGGAGTGCCCTCCAGAGTCAGGATGGTCCGTGCTCTCTGAGGTTCTCCCCGCAGGGGTGACCTGGGAGCTGGCCAAGGGCCCTCCCCTCCCCAGCCTGGTATGGGCAGATCTGGCCCGGAGGGGAATTACCCTATCGCCTGCCTTACCCCTTACCCCTAAAGTACTCCACACTATACACCCTCACACACTCTCATGGGGTGAGGCAGGCAGGCTCTGGGCTGCTGGAGTTGGCCCGAGCTCTTCCCAGGAAAGGTGAGCCCCAAGTCAGCACCTGTGTGGAGACATTGGATCGGCCTCTGGTTGATCCTCTGGTCTGAAACGAGTTGGAACAGGCCAGACCCACCGGCCTGGCAGCTCCTGGGAAAGTCCCCCTGGTACCACTCCTCTCCAGAGCAAATTCCCACCTCAGCTCCGCTTGGCAGGCACGCCCTTCCCAGAGGACTGACTCACCGCGGGGCTCGCTTGGCTGTCCAGGGCATCGTGATGCCCTTGTGTGCTCTGCCGTGGGACTGGTCCTCTGTCCAGCTTGCCCCCTGCAGACCTGATAGCCGTGCTCCTGAAGGCCCTTACTGAGGCCAGTCCTGCAGGCCCCCAGCTGCCCTCACGTGTCCAGTGTGCAGAGCGGCCCTGTGACACAGGGCCTGGGATCAGGGTCATTTTCTTCTTTGGGCTGTGAGGCTCTCTCTCTCTCTCTCTCTCTCTCTCTCTCACACACACACACACACACACACACACACACACACACACGTCCTGTACTCATTTGCTTCTTGCACGGAGCAGAGTGCAGACAAGGGGAAGGATGTAGCAGATAAGAAACGGTGGAAAGGAGGCCCCAGGTGGAACAAACGGTTCAACAAGCCCAGTTGCTCCCCCACAAGGTTGGAGGTTCAAGTCCATGCAGAGGCACCTCAGAAGAAAGGCCTGGTGACCCACTTCCAAGTGACACTTCCTGGGAGCCCTGTGGGGCACAGTGCTGCTGTGAGTCAGCGCAGACTCTGTAGCCACTGCTTCTTGCCTTGGGAAGCAGTCTGCAGCTGGATGGGGTGGGTGGGTGTCATGCACAGAGCGGAGGTAGCCGGAGCAGGCTCGCTGTGTCTGGGAAGAGAGTGTGCTTGGAGACATGGGCTCATGTCTTGGGTCACCTTTCCCTCCCCAAGTGATCGCTGGAAGACCCCTGCCCTTTCTGGACCGCGGGCTCCCCTCCTTAACTGTCCTATTTCGGGACCAGACCACCACCTGTCAAACTTCTTAAATGACAGCCTCTTCTCTTCCATGAATCGCTTTAATGATGATCACCTCCCCCCACCCCCTGCTGATTTCATCACCCTCAAAGGGCCACCGCCTGCAGTGTGAAAAACCGTGCATCTGATGATAGCTAAGGGCCCTTATAGTCCAGACGTTCTGGGATTCTGGAACATTCCCAGCCAGCGATCCCGCAGCAGGATGGCAGGATGGGGTCCTGGGTGGATTCCAGGACTGCTGGTCGGGAACCTTGACAGAGCCTTTCTCTCTGTCCTCACCCAGGTCTACAACGGGACCCTCAAGCGGGAGTCTGACAACAGGCGCTTCAGCTCCTACAGCCAGATGGAGAGCTGGGGCCGGCAGTATCCGCGGGGCGGCTGTGCCACCCCCGGCGTGGGCAGTGACATCTGCTTCATGCAGAAGATCAAGGCGAGCCGCAGTGAGCCCGACCTCTACTGCGACCCGAGGGGCACCCTGCGCAAGGGCACGCTGGGCAGCAAGGGCCACAAGACCACCCAGAACCGTTACAGCTTCTACAGCACCTGCAGTGGCCAGAAGCCAGTGAAGAAGTGCCCCATGCACCCCCCCTCCTGCACCTCCAAGCAAGACCCGGTGTGCGTGCCTCCCATCTCCTGCAACAAGGACCTGTCCTTTGGCCACTCGAGGGCCAGCTCCAAGTGAGTGCGGCTGGGCAGGGTGGGCAGGGCGGCAGCCGGCGGGAGGCCTCTGCGGGGTCTCAGTGTGAGCCAGGCGATGGAGCCTCAGCCTGGAAGCAGGGCTGTTGAGTACGTCGGTTTTTGTTTTTTTTTTTCTTAAAAGATCATGGTATAGGGGGCTCTTACAGCTCTTCTATCAAGCCATACATCAGTTGTATCAAGCATGTTTGTAACTAGGCTGCTGTCATCATGTTCTAGACGTTTGCTTTCTCTGGAGCCCGGGGTAGCAATAGAAATAGGATGTCGGTTCTAGGGGCTGCAGACAAAGAGCAGAGGGAGGACAGGGGTTCTCGAGCGAGTCCCTGACCTCGCAGCACCCGCATTCCCAGAGCTTATGAGACACACCTGCCTGCTCTTGAGCCCCACCCGGACCTCCTGTCTCAGAGATGCCGGGAGAGAGGGGCGAGCAGATCCCCAAGTTCTGTGGAACTAGAGAGCCTCTGGCCTTGGGCATCCATGTTTGGTAAGAGCACAAGGGAGTGCTCTTTCCAAACAAGGCAGAGGAGGGGGGCTGTGCTCGGGGTTACAGGACGGGGACGTCCAGAAGATGTCCAGGGAAGATGTGCAAACTGGGAGACATGGTCGGGGGCAACGAAGAGAGCCCCCAGGCTACAGATGTCACAGGACACCAGGCCCAGACGGAAAGCAAGAAAACAAACAGGGTGCTCTTTAAAGAGCCATGGACGCAGGGTGGCATGGGGCCAGGGGCCCCAGGGAAGTGGGCCTGCCCTCCAGGTCCAGAGGCCCCTATGGAAATCCTTGCCCCTGTCGGCGTACAGGGCAGAGTGGAACTGACCCGCAGGGTTCCTCTGCTGTAGGAAGCAGGTTGCCATCTCTCCCACAGAAAGGCTGGTGGGTAAGCACTGCTGCACCAACAGGCTCATTCTAAACCCATAGACGACGGAACACCCTTTATCACCACCTAACGATCCCTGCTACTCACTAACCAGCAGGTGCTTACTGAGCATCGGGCCTGTGACAGGCAGGCTCTGTGGTCCTTGCTGGGGAAACCCACCACAACTAGACAGACCAGAGGTGCCCCGGAGCCACAAGAACTGCTGAAACCACATGTCCTCCCCCCGGGGAGCTTTGCAGCCTTGCTCTAATCCCACAGCCCCTTGGAGGGACCCTGTGAGGATCCAGGTGGGGGGAAGTCTGAGGCACACGGGTGTTCAGTAGCTTCCCGAGGCCCACACAGCTGACATCGCATCCTCGGCTCCTCCCTAAAATAAAAAACCAAACTCGCTGCCCTCGAGTGGAAGCGGACTCCTAGCGACCCTACAGGACAGGGTAGGACTGGCCCTGTGGGCTTCCCAGACTGTCACTGTTTTCGGGAGTGGAAAGTCCCAGCTCTCTCCTGCGAAGCAGCTGGTGGTTTTGAACTGCCAACCTTTCAGACTCAGCCCAGCTTGTCACCACTCTGCCCCCATGCGCCTTCCTTTCTGGTGCCACATTATTGGGAAAACAAGCAGAACCCCCTTCTAAAACTAGACATCTCCTGGCACCTTGAGGCCATTAGGTACGTGAGGGTGGTTGGGGAACAAAACTAAGAGTCCTTTCTTCCAAAGTCACCGATCAGCGCAGCCTCTGGCCCTCGCTCATTGGCCCTCAACAGAACATTCAGGGGCACAGATGGACAGAAGGCAAACAAACAATAATAACAATAACTCCACTGTCATCAAGTTGATTCCAACTAGGACAAAGCAGAACTGCTCCACAGGGTTTCCAAGACTATAAGTCTATGGGAGCAGACAGCCTCATCTTTCTCCTGTAGAGCAGCTGGTGGGTTTGAACTAGCAGCCTTGCAGCCCGTGCTTCACCCACTGCGTCACCAGGACAAGGATCCTGAAAACCCAAGATCCGGTTTGGTTTGCCAAAGCTAAAGGCGAGAAGGATCTATTGAATAGCTACTATGTTAAGGCATTAGCTCACTGCAATCTAGACCATTCCGACTTGTCGTGACCCACGAGGACAGTTGGGATTGCCCCTGTGGGTTTCTGAGACTCTCACTCTTGACGCAAGGAAGCAGCCTCATCTTCTTCCTGCGGGGAGGCCGGTTAGCAGCCCAGCATGCCACCCACTATGCCAACAGGGCTTCCCGACAAGGCATTAGGCTAGTACAGACATAAGGAGAGGGTCCACTCTATCAATGCCAGGAGGACAGTTAAAGAAGGAGGGGCTCTCTGGGCACAGTGGGTCACACATTGGGGCAGTTCTAACCCATTGGGGGGAGAAAGGGAAGGTTTTCTACTCCTGGAAAGAATTAGCATCCCAGAAATCCACAGGGCGGGTCCAGAATGGATGTGGTGGGAGTGGGTTTGAGTTTGGGTGGGCACCTCAGGGAACCCCTAGTCTCGATGGGAAGCCAAGACACGGACCTACAAAAAGGCAGCCTGTGCATAGCGGGCTCGTGGAAGAGAGGCCTGCTGTCCTGGGAGGACTTCACGGGAAAGCGGAGCTGGCGTGGGGTCTTGTGTGTGATCCGGGTCCCACGGGTAGGCCAGAGAAGGGAATCCACGCTAAACAGAAGCACGTTCAGGGGGCAGGCTTGCTGGGGTGGTCCTTTGCTGGAGGCTAAGGCGTGTGAGAGAGGGCCCAGGGAAGCCAGAGGGCTCCGTGGAAACACGAGAGTTCCGGTTATCTGGTTTAGAAAAAAATGCTGGTATCAGCCACTTCATATTTACAAACTAACACACGTCTCGGTGATCAGTGTATGCAGTTTGACCCTGAGCCACACTCTAGAGGAGGTGCCGTGGGTCTCTGTGCTGGGGGACAGAGCGTGCCGTGAGCGCTCCTCTGGTCAATGGATGTGGGGCTTGGAAAAGAGAGCCAGGCGGGGCACTGTGGCCCAGTGTCTGCTAGGTGGCTCACGGGGAGCAGGAAGGAGTGGCTCTGGGGACAGGAGGAAGGATGGGAGAATACGTGTTTGGTCAGAAGAGTCCGATAGACTTGAGGGTGGGCGAGTGGGTGGACGAATGGATAGGTAGATAGACTCATGCTTCTTCCCCTCTGTCTCCCACACACCGGGCGCAAAGGTGAGAGATGAAAGGGCGGGGGGAGAGCATCCCCTCAGGGAAGAGCAGAGATTTTTCCAGGTGCAAAGCTAACTTGCCTGCTTGGGCACTATCCCAGGGCCAGGACTTCAGCACAGCCGGATGTTTCCCTCCGTGGGCAGCTGTCCCGTTGGGTTGTTTTCCAGAGTAGCCTCCTTCTAGCCCTTCAGAAGGCAGATAACAGCCGTAGCGCTCGCGTGGTCAAGGAGGACTGTGGAGCCTCGGGACCCGAGCCCCCACCTGCCCTGTGCGACCCACCCCTTTGCCCCGTGCCGCCCAGGATCTGCAGCGAGGACATCGAGTACAGCGGGCTGACCATCCCCAAGGCCGTGCAGTACCTGAGCTCCCAGGATGAGAAGTACCAGGCCATCGGGGCCTATTACATCCAGCACACCTGTTTCCAGGATGAGTCTGCCAAGCAGCAGGTAACGGACTGGCTGCCACGGCCCTTCCTGGTCTACCTGGGCAGGACTGACGGTGTCTGCCTGGCCCTGCGTGTAGAGGGGAATGGAAACGTTTGCAGTTGATCCCCTCTCACCCACCCCTCCTGCCCCCGGCTACCTGGGCAAGGTGCCTGGTTGGCATCTCCCAGGAGCAAAGCTGGGCATCGTAACACTTCTATGGGATGTACAGGCCCCACACTGGGGGTCTGAGTGGGTTTCCCC